ATGGAGCCCGTGGGAGTGGGGTCTGGCACGATCATTGCGCCCACGTGCGGGTCTGTCAAATGAGTGGATGGTTACGTCGCCAGACCCATGTCCTACCCACCCTTTCGCAAGTCAATGCCCAACGCGTGCTGTGGCAAAAACGGTGTGATCGATTATCAGACGAACTGTTATGCAACTATTGTACCGAGGCCAAAGACCAGGCGTTTGCCAACGGTCAAGGACTGGATTGGATCCCGGATAATTGCAGTGATTGTCGTAGCGTCATACGTGTCTTTGAACAAACCGTGACCCAGCGGGAATGGGATGTACCCCTGATGTACGCCGATGATGAACCGCATACCATGTGGGCTTGGACGCCCATCCCTCATGATAAACGCTGATTTTTTTCATTTTTTTTCAGACCATGCTCATTTACACAGGCGGTGCTAAAGGCGTGGACACGCATGTGGAACGATTATGTCACTTGTATGGTCATACCTGTGTGGTCTTGATCCCACCTTGTCACCCTCGATCCAAGTCCCTCGCGCCCTTGACCCAGTCCCAATTGGATGCGGCCACCCCTACCGTCACCCAGGTGGCGTTTCGATTGGGTCGACAAATTCATCATCCTATCAGCCTCCAGTACATTCAACGCAATTATTACGTCATCCAACCTGCGTCCCTCGTCCTCGCTTTGGGCCATTTTGATGAATATGGCAAGCATTTGTTGGGTGGCACAGGATGGGGTGTGGTCATGGCCCAACTTTTAGGCAAACCCCTCTATGTGTTTGATGTGGACAAGGAACAATGGTCTTGGTGGAATCCCACCTCCCAAGAGTATCAAGTCTGTGACGGCATGACCGAGGAACAAATCGCCTTATCCACCCTCCAAGACAAGACCGCCATTATCGGCACCCGAGAAGAAGACCCAGTCCTCTATCCCACCCTAGAAGCTTTATTCAAACGCAAATGAACATAAAAAGAACACTGCTCTATAGATCAAATCACTTGTTTTTTAATCTCAAGATACGTCAATGACAATAAAATTCATGGCTCCCATGGTGTTCATAATCAAATCCAGTCTCTGTATCACTTTGTCCAGGGTATCATAGGAGCGCTTTCTCCGACCAATCATGACGGGGAGCTGACCCAAGGGACAGTGGGGGATCTGATACTTGAAGCGGTCAATGATGAACGCAATGCCCTCGTTCATCACCTTGTCCAGATTGGGAGGGACCCGTGCCATTTCCGCCATCATGCCAATCTACAAAACAGACAAAATAGTTTTTTCAGCATCCAGGTCATGAAAAAAAAAATGGGACTTTGAAAAAAATCACTCACCGATAACCGGTGATCCATCATACGATGGCAATGGTGGCAAGCATTTCTCCGGGGGGCATACAACCGCACCACCGTTTGGTTCCACCGCCGATCTTCGCCCAGGTGTTGAGGAAACCCTGTCAGCTCGCAATGGGGCAACCCTTTCAATTCCTGCACCACCTTCTTACGTTTGTCCATGGTGTAAAAACAGTGCACCCAAAACATAATCTTGATTTGAACTTCCAACGGCAATACACGACCAAACGGTTTGTTCCTGGGGTCGACTAACCCTCGGCAGTCCATGATGACCGCACTCAGCATGGAATGGGACCTCTCCGCTCTAGTCTGCCTTAGTTATCCGTTTCTTGGACCAATCACCCACTCGCGCCAGGACTTGGGGTCCCACCCAAAAAAGTGTACCCATGGGGGGTACCCCCTAGAATCTCCTCTCGTGGTCAAACTCCCCCACGTGATGTCTCTCCACCAATCAGCGCCTCTCATCAAGTCTCTAAATCCCGTTGCGCGCTCCGTGTGAGCTCATTCCAGTTTGATCAGCGTTGCTATTCAACATGGTGAGTTCGCTCCAGTCCATTGTGCTGTTCTCGGTGCCGATTGCCATATTGATCGACATGCTCAAGATCCTGCACCACCTGCCCATGGGCCATGAGTTGTTCCGCGCGCTGTTCCGTCGCTGCACCCATGAAGAGTTGAGAAATTGGGCGAAAACGTTCCCGTGGGACCACCCCATTGCCAGGAAACTGGATCATGAGGTCCATCGGCGCCGTATGGCTGGTGAGTTTTATGGCTTTTTATTTTTTTTGGGTGTGGGTCCCTTTTTTCCTTATACCTTTTTGATTTTTTCACAGAGGTATTCAAGGGGTTCGAGTTTCTACGCACCGTGCTGTGGCCTGTCCACCTATGTCTTTGCCCTCGACGTGCCCGACTCAATTGGGCCGCACGGTTCTGGGTTCCAAACTGTTCGTGTTAATTTTTTTGTTTGTTAGATTCATGGGAGTACATAGAAAACCAACCTGTCTGCCACATTTACCAATGGCTCGCCCATCCCACCCATGGTGGGGTGTGCAACCATTGTGAGCGTATGATGGATGGATTCAGACTTGATGACATGATTGCAGGCCTCAGGGTGGGGACCCTCACCGAAGATGAAATTGTGGAATATGTACAAGATGGGGACCCCAACCATCGCGATTGGGATGATTGGCCCCTTCGCATGACCTTCAGGATCAATTCGTTTCTCCGGGAGCATGGTCCTGTGGGTGATGCGGATTTGGCGGCCCTAGGCTTTTTAGACGATTGATTTTAGTTCATTTTTTCACAGGCACCCATTGCCTGTTACGTCATCACTTACAATGGATCCCGAGAGTGTCCTCTTTAAACTCTCCTTTTTTCGCATCCTGATGCGTCCACTTTCCACCTCTTTGTAGGCTTTCATTTCACGTTGAAAGAATATGGAGATTGGATACGTCCCATTCAATTAAGATGTCATTATAGCACGGTCAAATGTGTAATCCAACTTCATGAAATATTTCAGATGTAATTGAGGTCATTGATGAATGGGGGTGGATCCTTCCCTTGCAACACCGATGCCATATTCATTGTGTTCAACAATTCGTTCAATTTTGTAATGGTCTTGAATTTTAGAGGCACGTACCCATGTCAAGAACAGTCGCTGGTTCAGAGATTGCGTGGCTTTCTTACTCGGAAAAGACATGAAAGACATTTATTATTATTGATTTTTTTCAAAATTTTAGAGACACATACCCACCTCTACAACAGTTGCTTCTTCCGAGACCGCCTTGTTTTCTTACTTATGAAGACAGAGTATTATTATTAATTTTTTCGTAGATTCGTTTACTATTCTCAGCACCCACAGGGTTCATGGCACGTCCGCGGCCTGGTGTTTTTGTGGTAGTATCGTGCAGTGGTACACCGGACCAGGGGTTCCTCTTCCACCATATCCAAGACCCATCAAATTACTCTGTTGTCGTTGCTTTTTGAATTTTCGTCGCGTGCAAGATTTACATGTGCCCTGTTATTGGTGTGAGATGTTGCAAGGCATGGGTTATCCACCCCGTTTCTGAACAACCTGTTGTTTTTTGTTTCAGATACTCGTTTTGTCATACGAGCTATTTATATTCCTTCCCTTTTTCAGCCACTGCCCAGATAATAGAGAATCACACCAGATATTACCACGCTTATCTAATGAAGCAGTTGTATTTTGTGTGTAAACGCTGTTGGACGTATTCACGTCACGTGAACACCCTCCATGAACCCTGTTGGGGATGTCATATTTTAGAAAGCACAGGATGGGAATTCTGAACACCCGGCAGGGGGAGGTCTGCATGGTGGCGCCACCCCTGTTGGATGTTCAGTCTCCATTTTCATGTTTATTAGATTCCCATTGGATCCTACAAGATGTCATGATTTTCCGAAGCTGGCCCATCCCTCATAAACTCTGTATTGTCAATCATCAAGGATGGTCCAGCTTACTCCATTTGTTCAAACTCCAACGTTGATTTTTTTTTTTTTTTTCATATCAGTATGTCAGTGGTTCCTGGAAGCTTACACTACAATATTTTTTCGTTAGTATGTCATTGGTTCCTAGATGCTCAAACTAAGACGTTGATTTTTTATTAGAATGTCATTGGATCCTAGACCATTTTGATTATAATCAAGACTGGATTTTAATAGAATATTATTGTAAACAAACATTTCAAGGGCGTGACACCACTAGGGCGTCACACACGTCCCGTTTGTAATGAAGGTCTGTTTTTTCTTTTTCCAGTCAATCATTGGACCATAAACCACCGCCTCGTGCGTGCCAATGGTCGACTATATCTCATTCAGTTTGCTTCTTGGATCTAACCACCCCTCCTTCTAATTCGTTTTTTCAGACACCTTGGCTGCACTCAATTTTCCTTTAATCAAACCATGGTCATACACAGGTTACAACCATTATATCAAATGGCCTCATCCAGCGCTCATGACTTTTTCTTCCAAGAGGCAAACACCCTTTATTTTGTTCACTCGTTAATATCCAGGGCGTGACGTCATTTGGGCGTCACACACGTCCCGTTTGTCATCCAGGTTCTATTCGCGATGTGTTCATTAAAAAGTGGATGTTGACCTCTATAGAGTGTGTTTTTCTTGACTTTGGGGATGCGAGGGGTCTGGGACTACTTTTCGTGGTTTGCGCATGCGCAGTAGGTGTACGCGGAAATAGGCTCACAGACATGCGGGGGGTCTGGGGAGACAATTGGCGGTCTGCGCATGTGCCTACGATCCCATTCACGTGACTGCGCAGGGCAAACGCTTGGACCCCATCTGCGCATGCGTCCAACTACCAGGCTCTTCTCTCCATAAAACTATGCCAAGAATGTGGATTCAACTCTTGTGTGCGTGTGTTCTTTATTCCATGGGGTCACGTGTCAAACCATGCCCATATATGGGCATTTGTGACGTCAATAAGTCACATGGGCCAAATGCGCGATTCTGATTGGTCGAGACAAATTTTGCTGCGCTCTGATTGGTTACTCCCTAGTGTAGCCCTTATCACTACTGGGGCCAGCTGCTCCCTCATCATCCGAATTGTCACTGCCTGAAGTATTTGATTCTGAAAAAGAAAAGGAAAAGAACAGGGATGGTTATTTTTAGAATTCCTCTATTTCAAAAGTTAAGTCTTAAGTGAGTAATAACTTACTTCTCTTCAGTGTTTCCATAGCCTTATCCCTGAATTCATTTGCTTTCTTTCTATCCTGTTCATCTTTTTTCTTGCCTTTCTTGCTCTGCTGCTGTAAGTCATCAAGATAAACCCTGATATCATCTAAAAGTTGATGAATTTCATTATACTGCTCCTCAGTGCCTGCCCTGACAATTTAACAATAAGACCCTCAGCTATTTGCTCGTTATTCAATGGCTGTAAAGTTTGGTAAAAACTAAAAATGAATTTATGAAATACTTTTTTAAGGCTGCAGAGTTCTCATCTTTGTGATGGCGAAGAAGAACATCAAAGTGCTCTTTACATGAGCGGCCTTTGACTGTGATTTCGTCTTTTGCCCATGCTCTTTGAAGATTGTCAGCAATTAGGTTCCAGTCATTGGGATTACTAGGTCTTAATGCCAGCACTTCTCTAAGAAGATCAAGGTCATGGTTTATGTTCCACCTAAACATAGTCTGGAAATGAAAAACCATTGTGAGATTTTTCTAAGATGAAGAAGACTGAATAGGAGGGTTTCTGAAAATCTACACACTTCTTGGTACTTCCCACAATTATGTAGGTTGCTTTCAACCGTAACTGATCTTCTTTTAGTTCTTAGCAAGTTATATTTTTCTCATTGGTCCTTCTTTATCGTGCCCCCCCACACACACACACACACATACACGCACACACACTCCTCCCTGCTATATCCAAATGGTTTGCTTAATAAAACACTGGCAACACACATTTTCAGAAAACTAAACTTGTTTCAGGGTTGTGCCCCTTTTTCAGAAACAAAGAAGTTGTAGGGCTTTTCCAGAACTTTTTGAGGACTCTGAAATTCACATTAACCCTTTCACTGCCATGATCTCAATGTTAATTCTCCTTACTGTCTGCCCTACATTTCATATTGTACACTCGAGTTCAACAGATTTCCAGAACTTTCCAGGACCAGCAGCCGTTTTCTAGGACTCCAGTTCTGGAAAATGCCACAGTAAAATTACAGGATTTTCCAGGACCCGCACGAAACCTGTCTTCCCTTAGTTAAAAGAACAAGCACGCAAAATTAACTTTGTACATGCATGTCGCTTAAGGCATACAAAATCTCCCTCAAATTCTACACTTCATATCTTAACAACAAGCTGCAACAAAGAATTCATTCATACATAAGCTTATTGAAATATCATGGAAAGATTTTAAGAAACTTGGTGGGAAGTCCCTCGACCGAAAGCTTGTTATCGCAAACCCCGCCATTTTGATCGAGGCACATCACCAGACAGTTCCTTTGATTGTCAACTTCAACAGTGACTCCCATGCTAAATTTTTCAATGCTATTTCTTTTGCGAAACTCAAACATTCGAGCAATTCTCAGAAATCCCCCCAAATACCGCCACAAATTGATATCGTTTCAGAGTTCAATCTGCGCATTGGAGGTCCAAAATCAATACATTTTGAAGCGCCTTCTTTACAGCTAAAATTCAAATTTGGCGAAAATATTTGAACAGACTTGCAATAACATTGCCAAGGGGTCATACAATTTACATTTGTACTTAAAAAGTCTTAAAAACTTACTCGTTTCTCCATCACTCACTGGTAAATCGTAAATCTTCTCGTACCGGTAAATCTTGTGCGGGTAAACTGGTGTCTAGCCCGGAAAAACGGCTGGTTCTACCGGGTAAGGTCGATGACGTCACCACAAAATGAAAAAACATGACGCTACCCGTTACCCGTACACCGATTTCGGGGTATCTTAAGGTCTCTATTTACTACCCGCGGTGATGTCAAAAGAACCAATCAAAATTATCGCACGGAAACTGTCACCTTTCTGGCGCAAAGCGTCTGCGTTGCAGTAGAAATGAGGAGTTACGACTGTTTCCGTGGCTTCGCGAACTCCTACCAAAGTTTGCGGGCCTAAATCATTTAATTCTTTATGTAGGACAGTGTTAAAAAGCAATAATTTATTTAGTTCTCACATCTAACTAAAACACCAAACTGAATTTGATATGAAAATGTCATTCTTTTATTTACATAAACTGGAAACACTGACAGTGTAAATCTACATACAATTCCAATTTCGTTACATCAATCGTTCACAAAAAAACTGTACAAAAGTCAAAAATAAGTCACGAAATCACAAATCACGCCGTCGCTATCGGTTCTAGGTTACAAAGGTTAAAATCAGTTACGGGAAAAACACAAAAAAAAATCTTCACTGAAACTTTTGATCGCATAAAGTTCAAACAAAATCCCGATAAAATAGTCCCTAATATTTCCTAAAGAGTTCTGAGCGAATGTTCCTGAATTACTTGCCAATAAAATCCACTTGCAAAGTGCTTGATCCACGAAAACAAATTCCTCACAAGAAGCCTTTAAGGTGTTCACACAAAGTTCCCACGCACAGTCCTGCTTTGTTCCATAAATATATTCCATCCAGCGGAACTTGAAACAAAATCCGCAATAAAAGTTCCTGATTCGTACTTAAC